GAAGTAATTTTTTAACTTTTTAGTATACTTGTTATTTTACAGTATTGATTTTAACTTTGTTGATAATACGAATTTCATTAATTCTTTTGTCATAACTTTTTGCAAAGCTATACCAGTGTAAAATTTCTTCATAACCAGAATGAACAGCTTTTCGAAATATATAGACTATACACTCAGCTATAACAGAAAATTATTATTTTTTATCAATTACTGGTGGGGTGAGCGAAATTTCTGTGTCTATACTAATGGATGAAACAGATAATTGTTGCATCAAGTCACGTTCTACTGCCTGCTTAAAAGGAACAGTGAAATTGTCATCTTCAGGTAAATCCTTTCTGAAGGATAAGTCACAATCCAACCGATTATTCTCTATAGATTTGTCAATATTTTGATCATGAAAATTGTGAATTTTATTCACAAAATTGCTGAAAAATTCTGATTTTTCTAAAATTCTCCAATCTCTTGGCTTATCTAAGTTATTATCATTATTAGTTTCTGCTATATACGCAGGTTTAAGGTGATGTTCTGGTTAACTGACTTATGCTGAATTTTCTTCTCCTTATTGTATCACTTAATATTTTTACTAACACTTTTCTTATTTGCCTCATCCAAAAAATTATTCATCTTTTTCTCCTTTGATGATTTTCATGATGATCTATATCTGAATTGAAGTTAGATGAGTTATTGATAAAGATATTATTTTCCTTTGAGTCATCTTGCAACTGATTCTATTCCACTTTCGTGAATCTATCTCTAAACTCAGATTTTAACTTCTCAATTCTGGACTTGAGTTTGGCATTTTCAACATTACGCCTTGTTCTCTTTTTTTCAGTCATTCTTAGAACCTTGGCAATCTTACGCTTAAGTTAAGCTCTCTTAGCATCGAACTCTGAGATCTTTTTTTTAAGATTGAGTATTTTAGCATTCTCAGCCTCAAGTTCAATGATACGCTGTTTCAATACTTTAAGCTTAGACGACATGATCTATATAAATATAATACACTGTATATAAGAATTCAAAATAAAAAATTCAGCTAGCACCTATGTTTAGCTTATCTATTTTTTTGTCACACAATCTATGGCTCAGCAAATTCTTCTGAGCTGATGATCACCATTCTGGACTAGCTAGATTATTTAGACTCTGATTCAGTTTCGGAGCTAGAAGATTCTGAATCAGAACAGTAATCTTTATCAAAATTTTCGATATGAATATTTGGATTTAGCTGTTCCATGGCTTTTTTGCTAATATTTTCACATCTTTTCAAATCTAGAGATTTTAAATTGAAATATGAGTGAGCAATTTCTCTGATAATCATATTGGTAATATTACAGTATCCAAGATTAAGATGCTGAAAATTTGGATAGGAACGTATAATATTACAAATTGATAGTTCGCTGACAAAAACACAGCAAACCAGATCGAGATATTCTAATTTATGACAAGTATGAGTCAGCGCTTCAGTAACCATATCAGTAATATCATTACAACTGATCTCTATATGTTTTAAATTTGAAGATCTTTTGATGATAGCTATAATTAATCTATCATCCCATAAAGCCATGGTACTATAAAAATCAAGATACTCTATATTGAAGCATCTCTGCATTAAAGTATTAACATCTTTGACATCCCCCTTACTATATACTATATCAAGTTTTTATAAATTTAGGCATGAGTTTAAAATGCAACTTATAGATTTATCTGTAATCCGCCATGCTTTAGCAAAGTGAAATACTTATAAATCATGGCAATTTTAAACAAAGATTTATTGGTAATATTTCTACAATAAAAAATATTTAGATGTTCTAATTTACGGTATGATTCTACAATTGCACATAACCCTTTATCAGTTATTACTTGAGCATCTCATAAATTGAGATATCTTAAATTAAAATATGATTCTGCTATTATAAATAGTTACTTTATCATCAAAACTTATACTATTTTTGAAATCTAAATGAATTATATTTGGAAATGTATCTGCAATACTTTTTATTTTTTTATCTGAAAGTGAATAGTAATAAGTAATTTCTAAATGGGTTGTATTCGAAATATAAGTTGGCTTATTCTTTTTACACATTATTTTTACAAATATTTCTCATTAAGTACGATTTCTCTTACTATAAGTATTTTCATCTGAGAAATAGTACCCATATCTCAGATCATTCCCCTTTAACTCAATGTGTTTCCATAGGCTAGGAATGGCACATCTGTACTATGACTAGCAAACAAATAGAGCAGGATAAAGAGATTTATCTATCACTAAAAAATGTAAAATCTGTTCTAATACTTCTGCAATATTAAAAATATTTGATTGCATCATAAATATTCCATTTTATATGTTGTATATTTAAACAAAAAAATAAATTATGCATATTGATGATTACTGCTTCAGATAATCATTATTCTGCATTAGGTTCATATTTTACTTCTTTGAAATGGAATCACAAAATTATCGTTTAATAATAGTTTTGAATTGCATATATCTAAAGTTGTACAATTTTCTTGGAACTATGGCATTCCTAATACTAAGTTAGAATAATAATCAGACCAATCCAGTTCAAGAACTATGAATTCAATAGGTGTGCTTTATGCTTCTCACCATCTTCAAAACTAATATGCAGATTGACCTTTTCTAATGTGAAATAGGATGCATTTGGAGTTACAATGCTATTGCTTTTACTGTAATATGACATTCCTAATTCACCAATATATTTTTGGCTAATGTAATTTATATCAGTACATGTATCAATTGGTGCCTCAATAGGGATATTTTTTTTGACTATACAATTCATGAATACCATTTTCTTATAGCATATATAATATTCAAATATAAAATTAAACCTCTATTCAACGCTCAGTAAGATAATCAAGTGATCATGCAAAGCATCTAATTTTTCGAATCCTTCTGGCTCAGCCCATTTTAAACTACCAACCATTTAATTTTTTTTATTGTACCTTTCTTTGTTGCTTATAAGAGATAGCCTCATTTTCTCTTATCACAATTATCTTGACTGAATCAGATTCTTCAGAAGACTTAAACAAATAAGAGAAACTCTTACCTTTTTTAGCAATTATCAAGGAAATTTTTTCTTGTATTAAGTCGATCACAGTCTCTATATCTACACATTTATCCAGTTCTACACATTTTTTCAGATCTTCTAATTCAGTCTCTAAAGATTTTACATCTCTCTCTAATCTTTTTACCCTCTTTTCTAAAGTGTTATATTAGAAATAATAATCTTCTAATTGTTTCTTTAGCACTCTATTTTTACCAGAAAGTACACTATACACCTCTGCATTTGCTTATCTATTCCAAATGCCTGGACTAATATCTTTGTATATTTGATAACTTCTTATTCTCTGGATGTATTAGATGAATGATTTTGATCAGTTACTATTTTCGTAATATTTTATATATGATATATCTATTTTTTTCTCATATTTATTTAAAAAAAAGAAACTCTATCAGATAAGATATTAAGGTAAGTTACTCTAGTTAAAAGGGTAGACTATCTTCCACAGATCAACAGATCAAGGGAGGTGACAAAATAAAATTAATAAATAATATCAGACTAATAAATCAATCCTTCCGATCCTTTAATCCATATATGTGATTAGTTTTCATCAAAAATCTTGATTGCCTTTATCTGATCATAATGTTATCCTTTTTTTTGATAATTTACTATTGTATAGTTTTTTGCGGGTGAAGTATGATTTCCAGGAGCATGTCTAAGTGATTCACTGGCAATAATCATAACCTTTAATAAATTCTTCGCTTTATAAATCACAACTGCAAATACCGTCTCTAATTTACGTAAAGAACTAGAAAATAGTAGTTTGCCAGTTTCAGAAAGGAACTCATCTTTTTTCAAAAATGTATTAAATCATAACATTCTGAGAGGATCCCAGACAATTATATTTAATCTGGTATGTATAAGATGAGGTAAATTTTAAGAAAATTTTTTAAAAGTGATATGTAAAAAATGGGTTTTTTAAAAAAATGTGGGGGTAAAATGAGGTAAATAAAAAAATAGTGGTAGGATTTTTATAGGTAAATTTTCGTAATTTTTGAGGTGATATATTATAAATTGGGTAAATTATCATACTATCACTATTATATATATAGTAAATAATTTTATTACAATAGTTCTAAATTTACAATTTATTCTAATATATAAAAATTCAATTGTTTCATATTAATAAAGTGAAAAAATTGCTTAATGCAATAAAATAAAATTTTTATTTTACGAAAAAAAATTTTGTTAATAAAAATAAAACATACAAAAGATACACTTTCAAAACATCCAAAAGTTAGAAAAATTATTGATCCAAAAACTGTAATATATATATGTGATAAAAAGGTTTATCTTAATAGAAACTATAATCCAGACTTTTTTGAACGTCATTAAAAAAAATATGTAAAAGTAATGATATAAACTTTCAAATTACACAATTTTTTCAACTCAAAATTCAGATACTTCAAAAAAAAGAAACCTTTATATTGGATTAAACAATGAAAAAGTTAAATTATATTTATATCATATAAGTTTTATAACTATATTTGGTGATGCATCACCTCCAGAAACTATAACACGAGAATTATTTGGTGATAAATTCAAATCATCATTTCATTGGAAAAGTTTAAATAAAAAAGAAAATAATCAACTTTTAGATACTTTATGATCACGAGTAAAGTAGATAAATGATAGCACAACTTTTTGTATTAGAAGTACTGAATGTTCAATATATATTGATGAATTAATGAAGTTTGTAAGCAATGTCTTGACCTGAAAAAATCAAAGGTTTTTTTGGTAATTAATTTTTTTTTTATAAATTATGTTTTATGCTTTATAATATATATTTATTTATAAATGTAAATTATTATAAAATAGAATGCAATTGATAAACCAATCTCTAAAGAAAAAAATTGAAAATACACTCCTTTAATTCTATATAAAAATTCTCTATTTTATCAATATTGTAAAAATGCAAATGTCATGAAATTATTAGAATACTTTAATGATCCAAAAGATTGTACTCCTAAATTTTGGAATCAATTAGTAAGAATAGGACGTGCTGACACTTTTAAAGATAAACAAATTTTTTCTGGATTATGTGAAATTTTTGTGAAAATGACAAATCATATTAACAAAGGAAAAGGACTTTAAAATATTAGATATCCTGAGCAATTTTCCAATTTTTTAACTATTTTAGCAAATAGCAATCCTCAAATATATGTCATTTTTCAAAAAAATCTTGTAGGAAAAACAATTCAAAATATTTGGTAAATAATTTTTTATATATTATTATGCATAAACATTGCATACTTTGTATACAGTATTTAACTTTATTTTAATTTAGTGTACAACGTGTCTAATCAGATTTAGCACTTGAAAATATAACCAAATTTAAAAAATTTTTAAATAGCATTAATTATGATGGACCTTTCATAGCATTAACTGATAATATAAAACTTAAAGAAAAATTACGTTATTCTGCAAGTTTGGATGCAATTCTTAGGTCTACATTGCTATTACAAGAAACTTTAGCATCTTTTTATAATGAAATTGATACTATTGTAAAAAAGATTCAAACTAACAATTCATTAGCTAAATATGTTCATGTATATATTTTGTAAGTACCAGTTCCTAAAGTGCTGCCATTTTTACTTAAAATTATTCTAAATAATAGCAAAAAATGTATCTGATATATATAAAATTCACAATCAAGTTTTAGAACTTGCTACACATTTTAAAATTCATATATTATCAATTGAAGCTGATAACACATCAGTAGAAATTAAAGCACAAAAGTATATTATTCAAGCTAATACTGAAACAAAACTTGAATTTAATGATGAATTATACAATATATGATTAATTTATTTTTGGTAATAAATCCTTTTAGTTTTTATTATTAACAACTTTTTTATTTACATATCAAATTACATTGTCTTGTATTTGCAAATATCAGTTCTATTGTTTGTATTTCAGATCTGAAACATGTAAAAAAAAATGGACGAAATAGTATTTTTAGTGGTACTTGAATACTAACTTTTGAAAATAGTTTCTTGAGTTTTAGTTATGTATTAGAATTGTTCAAAATGTAGAATTCTGCTTTGTATCATTTCAAATAACCGTAATTTTTTAGCATATCAAACTTATAAAATATTATCTTTTCTTGTTAATTCAATGGTATTATTATACAATTTTAAATATTTTTATGATTTTTATTAAAAATTAGATAAATAATAATAATAATTTTTATTATTACAGATTCTACTTATTATAGCATATCAGAAATACTATAATTCAATGCCATTATTACTTTGGATGCATGGTAGCAAAGCATGTGAACATTTTTTGAAATGGCATGATAACATCTATCAGATTTTACATATGCAGATTTAATATATTTAATTTCTAAAATCATATTGATTTAGACATAATTGAAGTTAAATTTCCTTCTTTTTATTTTATTTCATTGTGTATATTTTTTTATTTTGGAATAAAATCAGCAAAAAAACTATTACTATTTTGTGATCTGATTTATATATGTAGAATTTGAAAATGTTATAGTATAAAAAATCAATTAAGAAATTTGATGAAATAAAGATGCTGTCTAAAACGTTTGAATACTAATTTATGATATCATTATTAAAAGGGTGAAAGATAGGTAAAATTTCTTTATTGCTAATCATCTGAAGATCTAAAAAATTTCTACATATGGGAGACAGTCAATAGAAAAGGGAAAAATCTACAAATTTTAGTTATTAAGCTAGTTTTGTTCACATGACCATGATCAGCAGAGTGAACCAATAAAAAAATTTTTGACTAAAAAGTGGATTTCCCCCTTTTCTACTGACCGCCCTCATATTAGTCCTTAATTAAATCATATCTCTATCCTATTTTTTTGTTAAGTTTTATATATTTATAATATAAATCAATATCAGTGTTAAAAACTTCCATTAAAATTATGTGATATTGTTTCATATAATAATCATCTAACATATCTAAAATAGTTTGGTATAAAGTTTTCCTTTCTTAAATTGTCTGCTTATCATAAATATTAACATATAAGTAACTAATTATTCTAATCTTAATATGTCCTTTTATTATAAAAAAGTCTTAAATTACTAGTAAATGTTTTTGTGATAAATTTGTTCTATTTTTTTTTAGAAATTAGTAAAACAACTCCTGTATATGATTATTTCTTATTAGAATTACTTCAAAAAGAAGTATAAAAATTATTAATTCTATATTTGTAACATATAGATATTTTATAATGTGTTTTTATTAAACTGACAAAATCTGTATTTTTGTTTTGAAAGAATTCTAATATTTGTAAAGACTTTATAGGATCTGTAGTTTCATTAATTCCTCAGATATTATATATAATAAATTTGATTATGTCTCCTAAGATTATTTCATTAGCTAAATTATTGTTAATATAAATAAGATCATTATCTAATTTCTGAATTATAGTTTATCATTTTTTATAGAAATGGAAGACTTGATCTTTCATAAAAAAAAAATGTTTAAACTGGTATTATTAGTATTATTATCTTATTAGTGATATATAATTAGATTATTATTAGTATTCTAATTATCAGTAGAAATATTATTTATCTTTAATTCATCTAATGAGGTAATTTAGAAGTGTTAAAGTAGAATCTTACTATTCAAAAGTAAAGTATTAAAGAATTTTACTTTAGAGTCTAATCTGATTAAGTGTTCTTTTATAGAATTGAATTAACTATTATAATCATAAGAGGATCCTTTGAGTTATTATTAGTAGTATCATTATTGACAATTGAATGACTAATATTATATATTAATAATGATATTGACTAAGATAAAATATTATTATATTTTGCAATAATATCTTCTTTTCTTTAGATAAATATTTTAACATTATTATTGATATTTTAAGATAAGTATCTGATAGGAAAAGGTTAATGTTTTTATCTATAATCTTTATCATTATATTTATTAACTTCATAGATTAGAAATAAAATATATAATTTAGAGAGAACTCTTATTTTCTATGAAACTTGAAATTATTACAGTAAATTAAAGATTTGCAAACATCTAAAAGTTCTTTTTCAATAGAGAATAAAACATAAGAATAGAGTTATAAAAATAACAAGTTTTTTCACTATATAGTCTAAGAATATTAAAGGTTTGTTATAAAAAAATTGTTTGGAAAACCTTTAAATCCTACATTATATTTTTTTTTAAGTTTTTAAATCATCTAATGTTACATTCATAGAATTTATTTTGATACAATATGATGATATATTAATAGTTTAAAAATTATTAAGTGTAGATTTCTTTTATCATATAGGTATTTGAATATAATAAAACTATCATGTAAATTATCTACAATATTTTTTTAACTATTTTCTATTGATATTATAGGACAAAAATTGATATTTGTTTAGCAATATTATCTTTGAAGATATGTTAAGAGATTTTTAGCATTTTGTATTTTTCTCTTTCATTTTTTTTCTTTAGTGATAAAGAACAAAAGAAAATGTTGATTGCTAAAATAGGATGAGATTTATTAATTAATTTGATCATATTAATTAAGGAATCCATTGAGTTAAAATATATAACAATATTGTTATTTTTATTTTTAAATTACTAATTGATATCAATAAAACTTAAATAAGATTTCATAATTAATTCTATAAAATTTAATTTTTCAATATATGATTTTCTAGGAATAAGAATTGACATGATTATAATAAAAGTATATGTTGAAGATAAAGATCTAGAGTGATTTATTTTATTATTGTTGAATTTATATCTTAGGTTATCCTATTTTAAAATAGGCTGTATGTCAGTTGAAAAATTATTACCATATAATGAAATGTTGAAAGAGTGTATGTATTTTTAGAGTTAGAAGACATGTCTTTTATTTATATATCTTGTGAAATCTTGTTATATATAGTATTTGTTAACGTGTTATTATTTAACTGAAATATATTTATATCTTATTTATTTTGTTGCTGTTATAGAACCTCAAAGTTCTTCTTATTTATATGTAAATCATAAGTTTTTCTATTACATTTTTGTTTTTATTTATCATATCACATAAAAAGAAGACACATTTGAGAATTTTATCATATATTCTGATACGTATTTATTATAATTTATTTGTTATTTTTTATAATTATTCAAAAATTTTAGAGAAGATGATAAAGAGGAAAGGGAAGAGTTTATTGCTATTTTTACACTTTGTTGTCTATCTTTGTGTATAAAAATAAAATAAGTACTTGATTAATATTATTTTAGTAAGAAAGATCTTCATCAGGAAGAGAGATATGCCTTTTTATCATATTTAAAATTTTTGTTATTATTATTTATATTTAAGATTTGAGAGGTAAAAGACAATAAATTATCAATGTTTATTTCTTTCTATAAAATTACCTTTGGCTGAGATAAAGAATTTTAAATAATATTTTGTGTAAAAGTTGTACTATAATTGTCTGTTTCAATTTGTTATTTATGAAGGAACAATTATGAGCAAGTTAAATCCAAATTTCTTTAGAAAATTTAGCAGAGTTAGGTAATTTTTATCATATTCAAAATTTAGTTTTTTTATAAGAAAAAAAATCACAAAGTATCTGTAATTAAAGAAATCTGCTATAACTTTATCTTTAGTTTTGACAAAAGGTTTGAGTGATTTGAGTAGTTTATTAAAAGTATAGTTTCTTTTATTAAAGAAATATTTAAAGGTTTCAAATTAAATAAAATTTTATTATTTTGTTTATTTTCAATCCTTTTGTAAAAAAGGAAAAAAAATTTTTTTTATATATAATTTAAATTATTTTTTTTTTTGACTTTTAATGATATAATACTGCTACAAATTTTATTAATAAGATTTATAGTTATAAAAGTAATAAATTACAAATGAGATATCTAAACTAAAACTGCAGCTATCTTCTGTAATTATATTTAAAGTTTATTTGAGTCAACCAATTATTAGCGATCCCTTTTAGATACTTATAAAAACCATTTCTTATAAGTAAATCTTCAACAAAGAAGGCAGATAAAAGTATCAATATCATAATGCTTTTCTTTTAATTGTCTATTAATCTTCTAACTACAAAAAATAAATAACCCTTCAGAACTTACAAACTTGAGATTAATTTTTGAAAAAAAAAAGTTAAAAAGACATATAATTTTAATAAGTTTTTAGTTAAATTACTTGGTTAATTCTTAGTTTTAGCAATCTCCTAGCACAGGAGCATCCATATCACTAAGTTTCATCAGAAACTCTTTAGTACTCTCAAGCTTTCATACTAAAATATTTGCCAATTCAGATTACAGCTGCTGGCAGATATTACATAAAGCTTAAATCATGCAGTTACAAGAAACTGAAAAATCTCACTAAGATAGATAGCTATATGATATTATAGATCTTTAAAAAAGTATTATTATTTATGAAAGTAATTAAATAGTTATTATATGTGCCTAAAATTATGTTGATCCTGATTATTATTTTAAATACCTTTTGATGTTCACTTTTATAGGCAAAAAAGAAAAACAAAAACAAATAAGAAAAAAATTTGAAAGAAATGATGAAATAAAAAATATCACTATTTGGACTAACAATGAAATATTTTTTAGTTGAAGGTATAGGGAATAAAATGAGAAAATATTTAAAAAGAAGAGTTTTGTTTTTTGCTCGCAGGTTAAGCTGTGACTACCCTTAAATGTTCATATTTTTATGTAAAAATTTTTAGACAAAATCCAATAGGAAAGAGTTTATATATATTATATAATTTAGATTATTTTTTTAGTTCCTGATCTAACTATAGGCTCAGCTATTTTATTAACAGATAATATCAAATTGGACCTTAAATTAT